GGAGTTGGGGGGGAAGGTTTAGAGTGTCAGCTTGTGTGTCTTCAGCCAGGCTTCTTCTCCCTCATCATGATCAGCCCAGTTTGAAGGGAAGGAAAACCGCTCTGCAGGATGGCATGACTCCCTGGTCTGCACCAGCCCCGCTGAGAGCTGTGAGGCGGCCCAGACAGCCCAGCCTTGTGGTTCCAGGCCACGTGCCACCACGCTGGAGCCCAAGGGCAACCAGGTCTGAAAGCTGCTGGTTCTGTGACCCTGGGCAGAACCCTCATCCCGACACTGGGGAGAAGGGCTCAGGCAATGATGCTGGCTCATTCCCCCGTTCCCCCCCTCCCCCGCCCACCCAGAAGTTTGTTCATTTGCTTATAATCGCTGCACCCAACCTGGGGCTTGAACTCATGACCCCAAGATCCAGAGTCACATACTCTGCGGACTAAGCCAGCTGGGCACCCCTGTTGGCCAGGTTCTGTATAGGAGGAACTGGGGCGTGGGGTGTGGGGGGGGACATGCCACCCCCCTTCCCCCGCAAGGAACTGGGTAGAGGCAGGCAGTCTCCCTGCTCCCAGAGGTCCCTTTCGTGAAGAGCAGAGGAGTTCGGGGAAACTCAGTCGGCCTGGGAGGAGGTCTCCAGGAGCCCCTCCTCTCTTGGTTTCCAAAGAGGACATGCCTTCCAAGACCCACCAGGCTCTATTCCCCCAGAGGGCATTATTATTTTGTTTTATTAAATATTTTTATTTATTTGACAGAGAGAGAGAGAGACAAGAGAGGGAACATAAGCAGTGGCAGAGGGAAAGGGAGAAGCAGGCTCCCTGAAGAGCAGGGAGCCAGATGCAGGGCTCGATTCCCGGACCCTGGGATCATGACCTGAGCCAAAGGCAGATGCTCAACAACCGATCCACCCAGGCGCCCCAGAGGGCAATGTTTAACCCAGCCCATGGTACTCATTTGTCATAAGTGATGGGACCTGAGCTGAGGGCCAGGCAACCCTGCAGACTGACCATTCCCTGGCTCCTTTTGCTTCCTGCTCCCTGTTCCAGGGCCCCTACCTCCCTGGGAAGTAGCCCCTAGACCTGAGCCAATGTTCAGGATGACTTAGTATGAAAACCTCCCACGGGCTCCCCCCAAACCACAGGGCACTGTTACCTGAGGTGTGGAGGGTGGGAGCCTGGCCAATTTTGGTCTCCAGGTGAGCCAGCACTAGGTGGGACCTAGTGTGGGACCTGTGGGACCCAGGGTGGCGCTCCTCTACCCACCCCCCAGTCTTAGTTTCCTCATCTGTAAAATGGGGGTCGTTATTTGCACCTGGGCCCTTTTGGGTGGATAATCCCCAACTCAGTAGGAAGCATATCTCTAGAGGAGAGCCCAGGAGGATGGAGTGTACATGGTGGGAGCTGCCAGGAGCGGGCAATCTCCAGGCTCTCCCAGGGCCGCCCAGAGAGAAACGGCTTTGGAAGTCTGGCTGTGACGGAGCGCCCTCTGCTGGACGTCGGAGAAAGTGTCTCTTGGACCGCCTTTCTCTGGTCCTCTTGGTTCAGCGCCACAGATCCTGGATAGACCCGCTGAACTCCCACAATATACTCCAGGACTGGGAGGGACTACAACCCGGCAGAGGAAAGTCCTGGGGCAGATAGGAAAGGAAACCGCCGCGTCTGGGCTCGGAGTCAAACAATCTTGTGTTCAAACCCCAGCTCCATCCCTGTGTGCCCCTGGATCAGTTACGAGAGCTCTCTGAACCTCAGTTGCCTCAAAATCACGTTGCATGAATACTCTTATCTACCCCATGGGGCTGTTGCAAGGATTAGCTGAGATAAGGTGGAGAAATGCCTAGTTCCTAGCACACAGTAGTGAAGTAGGAAAGACGTTAGAGTTTGAAGCCAACAGACAAGAAAGAATTCTTGAGGCGTCTTTAGTGCAAAAAAGGTGTTTGTTTTTTTTTTTAAGATTTTACTTATTTATTTGACAGAGATCACAAGTAGGCAGAGAGGCAGGCAGAGAGAGAGGAGGAAGCAGGCTCCCCGCTGAGCAGAGAGCCCGGGATCATGACCTGAGCCGAAGGCAAAGGCTTAACCCACTGAGCCACCCAGGCGCCCCAAAAAAGGTGGTTTTATTAAAGCACAGCAACACGACCTGTGGGCAGAAAGAGCTGCACTGGGATCATAAAAAGTGGCCCACTATATACTTTCTAGTTGGAAGGGGGTTAGGGAAAGTTTAAGTCTCTAAGCAACTTGGAAGCAAGGTTTCCAGGACCTTAAGGGAGCTAGCTATTATTAGGAAAAGGTCATTTTACTGTCTAGTAAAACCTTAGTCATGAGACCCTTCAGATGTATACCGGTGGGCCATATGCTCGGGGATGATTGCCAACACATATCTTGGGGGTTTAGAGACAAAAGAAATTCCTAAAAGGAATTTTTATATGTTAAAGTAGACTTATAGGTGGGGGGAATTGGGCTAAGATTTTGCCCTTAGCAAAGTATTAACATTAAGTCCCTAGGGAACTGTCACTCTGCCTGTTCCAAGGACTTGTCAATGGGCTGTACCTAGTCAGCAAATTTAGTAATTTTTTTCTTGTGCCTTTATTTCCCACATCAAGTAGATGCTCAATAAACAAAAAAGTGATTCAAGGTGAAACCAATCCAAAGAATTATTATTAAGATTTATTAATTTATTTGAGAGAGATGCCCGTGTGCCCAAGTGGGGGTGGGGCAGAGAGCCAGGGACAGAAGCAGACTCCTGCCTGAGCAGGGACCTGACTCAGGGCTCAACTGGGGCTCCCTCTCATGACCCTGAGATCATGACCTGAGCACAAACCAAGAGTCAGACACTTGACAGACTGAGCCACCCAGGCGTCCCCAAAGAGTGGTGGGTGTTTCAGACCATGAGCTGCAGTGTCTTTCTGGAGTCTGGAGTCTGGGTGCGGTCCCAGTCCCTTGGCTCCTCTCCTGGGGCAAGGGGATCTGAAATCCCCTGGGAAGTGTAAAGCAATGGTCCCGGCCTGAGGTGGAGGGCTTCACGCTGCACTGGGTGGGGGCTTTTGCATAGGAGGCCTCCCAGAGCACTCTGCAACCCCACCCCCGGGGGGGCAGGCAGGCTTTGAGGGCTAGGTGGGCTACGAGGGCCAACCAACTGCCCAGAGCTCCCTGAGCTCCCTAGCCTGGAAGCTCAGCGAGGGCAGCAGCCAGAGAATGGCTCTGTACACCACTTACCTACTGGGCGACTTCCCTGCCTGAGCCTCCCTTTCCTCACCTGTATAATGGGCTTGGAAACAGCACCAGGAGGGCAGTTGGCTGGCTCAGGGCAGCATGACACTCTTGATCTCTAGATGGTAAGTTCAAGCTCCACATTGGGTGTAGAGATAGCTAAAAAAAATAAAATCTGTAAAACAAAAGAAAGAGGGCCGCCTGGGTGGCTCAGTCGGTTAAGCCTCTGCCTTCAGCTCAGGTCATGATCTCAGGGTCCTAGGATCGAGCCCTACATGGGACTCCCTGCTCAGCGGGGATCCTGCTTCTCCCTCTCTCTCTGCCCCTCTCCCAGCTCCTGCCTGCACACTCCCTCTTTCTTTCTTGCTCACACTTTCTCAAATAAATAAATAAATAAATAAATACCTTAAAAAAAATAAAAAGAGAGAGAGGAAGGAAGGAAGGGAAGGAGGGAAGGCACAAGCACCGACCTCACAGGGCCCTTAGGAGGATTCACTGGAATAATCCACAGGAGGCCCTGAGAACATTCCTCAGCACAGGAGGAGACAGACTAGTCCTGTAACCCCTGACAAGTTGCCTCCACTCTCTGAGAGAACAGGTAGGTCCCTTCTCTGGGTGCCTGGCACACAGTAAGTGCTCAATACATGTATGCTTACTTATCTTCGGGCCCCAGTCACTTGTCCAAGGAGAAGTGGGAGGGGGGCGGGCTTAAAGAGTCTGATATTCCTCAGATATCCCTACTCTCAGCCCGTTCTGGGGTCACTTCCTCTGGTGGCGCTCCGGCAGCCTCCTGGGCTCCCCGCGGGAGAGGTACCATGCCCTGCGCTGTAATGATCACCAGCCCTGCCAGACTGGCCTGTCCTTCAAAGCTAGGGCAGCCGTCCCTCCGCAGCGCCGCTGCAGGGATGAAAATTGAGAGTGGGGCGTTCAGGCATACGATCCCAGTTACTAAGATTCCCCTTCAGGTGGTGTTTTACTGAATGCCTTCACACGCCCGCGCTCATCTTCCACAAAGGTTGTGTTATTATGACACCCCCATGCCACACCTGGGGAAACGGAGGCACAGAGAGGGGAGATGGCTTGTGCAGCAAACACAAGGGTGGCACGTGTTACTTACACGCAATGTTACACAACTCACGTGTCCTCCTCATCGTGGTTCTCACAGTGTGGTCCGTGGGCCAGGAGTACCAACATCCCCTGAGAACTTGTTAGCGTTGCAGATTACCGGGTTCACTGTAGACCCGCAGAATCAGAAACTCTAGGGTGGGGCCGAGCGGTCTGGGTTTCAGCAAGCCCTCCAGGGGATCCTGATAAACGCCAAAGTTTGAAAACCATTGTCTTGGACAACCCTACCGAAGTCACTGTAATTATCCCTATTTTACAAATAGGCTAATTGTGGCCAAGCGAAGACAATCGGTGCAGAACCACAGCTGTAACTGGGAGTACCAGGATTCTAATCCAGGGAGTGTGGCGCCAGAAATGGCTTCTTGGAGACCACTAACGATTTGACATCAGAATCAGAAGTAGGATCAGCAATATTTGGCCATTTGCTAATAATTCCGTATGGAGAGGCTACTGCGTGCCCAGGCACCGTGCTAAACTCTGGGACGTCTCTTTCACCGTTGCTGGCCTAGGAGAAGTACTGGGGTTAGGAATCACTGAGGAGGGGTAGGTATCTGATTGTTACACTCAGAAGGCAGGTACCGGGAGGCGGGCTCCGCGGCCCCTTTAAAAGGCGGGGCCTGAGCAACGGAACTGAGGAGCGTAAGTGCGAAACGTGCCCGAGAGGCTAAGAAGGATACACCCGGAAGTCTCTGAGGCGTGCTGGAACCGCGCCGCCGGAGGCCTCGCCGCTATGGGCCGCAACAAGAAGAAGAGGCGAGATGGCGACGACCGGCGGCCGAGGCTCGTTCTCAGCTTTGATGAAGAGAAGCGGCGGTGAGTGTCAAGGCTGGAGCGGATTTCCTTGGGGCCGCTGGCCGGGGCGGGCGGCTGATGCTCACGCAGAGGTCCCTTCCGGCCCCGCCCTCCCGGCGTGGCCCGGTTCCTCTCCGACATCCCCCTCCCCTGCGGAATGGAAGCGGCCACGCTCGACCCCCCGCGCCCAGGGGATGGAATCGCCCGCCCCACCCTCCTTTCGCTCGGTCGGTGCTCGGGCTGGCCTGGCTCCGGCTGTGTGCGCAGCGGGAGGGCGGGTTTGGGGACCCGGAGCTGAGGCGTCGACGTCCCGGGCCCAGCCCGGCGGCCCTCCACGCGGTAGACTCAGCTGTTGTTGATGAGTGAGGAGGGAGTGAGATGAGCGTCGCTTAAGTTGATTTACGCCCTCATCACACGTGTCCTGAGTTCCTTCGATGTGTGGGTCCCAGATCTCAGGACCCCCGAGCTGCACCCCTAAGCCTCAGCGTCCGGTCCATCATATGTTTCCCGCTCACAGCGCCACTTTGCCATGTGGTAGTCAGCGAAAAGCCTAGTGTTGGGGCCCCAGAACCTTTGGAAATGGTGCAGCCAGCACTAGAGAGATGAGAAGGAGCCCGGATCAGATGGGGAGGGGAATGCGGGCTGCGGGGGCACCCACGGGCCCCACAGATGGGTCGGGAAGCAGGTGTCCTGGGGAAATGGGGTGCCAGTCCAGTGGAAAGTTTGTGGACGTCGGGGTGAGGGTGTCCTTTTTTTTTTTTTTTTTTTAATTTATTTATTTGACACAGAGAGATCACAAGTAGGCAGAGAGGCAGGCATAGATAGAGGGGGAAGCGGCTCCCTGTTGAGCAGAGAGCCTGATGCGGGGCTCAATCCCAGGACCCTGAGATCATGACCTGAGCCGAAGGCAGAGGCTTTAACCCACTGAGCCACCCAGGCACCCCGTGTGAGGGTGTCCTTAAGAGCCTACTAGAAGTGGCTTTATTGACTGGGTCAAGGAATCTGGCAACATAGAACGGGCCCCACCTGTCCTGCCCTGCACCTGGCCCTGTTACCTGAGGCTGAGAGCCCTGGAGGGAGGTGGGTGGAAGAGGCAGCATCTCTCTCTTTCTCCTGACCTTACACTCTCGATGACTTTCGGCAAATAGCCTAGCTTCTCTGTGCCTCAGTGTCCCCATGCGTAAAACGGGGATGGGTACCTACCACATAGGTTGTTGTGAGGAATACGTGAGGTAAGACATACGCTTGTTAAAAAATTTATTAGAGAGAGCGGGCACACAGAAGCAGCACGGGTGGGGCTGAGGACGAGCAGAGGGAGAGAGAGACGCCGACTCCTCGCTGAGCAGGGAGCCCGATATGGGACTCAATCCCAGGACCCTGGGACCTTGACCTGCCCAAAGGCAGACGCTTAACCAACTGAGGCATCCAGGCGCCTCTGTGTACATTTTTGTAGCGTACGGTGTTAGTGGTTTTTCTCTTCCTGGCATGAGCCTTTCTTTCCTTGTCTCTCCTCCTGACTCTTCCATGCCTCTCTCCTGCAGGGAGTACCTGACTGGCTTTCATAAGAGGAAGGTAGAGCGGAAGAAGGCAGCCACTGAGGAGATCAAGCATCGGCTCAAGGAGGAGCAGAAGAAGCTCCGGGAGGAGGTGCACAGGGCGGGGAGGGGTGCGGGAAGGCGGGGAGGGAGGGAGAGAGAGTGTGTGTGTATAAAATCTGACTCTTAAGGGATTTACATCCTTGGATGGCCTTAATAGGGGCGTCTGCAGGAATGAGGGAAGGCGTGGGGAACAGTCTGTACAGGTAGAATCATGGTGGGCCCTGGTCTGGGGAAGGTTGAGGATGGAATCTTCTGGTGTTTCACCAGGAGTCAGTCATTCATGGTCTCACTCACCCTGGAGATGAGCAGCGCTCCTGCCTGGAGTTGGCAGGAGAGGCCACACTCACTGTGTTCCCTTCCCTTTTGGTTTCAGCGGCGTCAGGAATACTTGAAGATGCTGGCAGAGAGAGAGGAGGCCCTGGGTAAGTACCGTCTTTGCCCTGACCTTGGGGGTCAGGCAAACAGGCCTAGGCTTATTTATCCTTTGGTGGGTGGAAGCGGAGAGGTGTGGGGGCTGGTCAGAAGCTAACTTCCCTAGCTCTAGGGGTCTTGGTGGTGAGGCAAGGGCCAGGGGTGGTCTTCAATGACCTCTATAAGTGAGTGGATCAGACACAGGGAGGAACAGCCTCTTGGTGAAGTGACCCTGAACAGAAAGCCCAGTTCCGGAGGCCTGGATGGACTAGGGATCGAGGGGAGGGGCCAGCAGCAGCTGCTGGGGTCACACCGGGTTCGTCCTAGATGAGAACCAGATGGTCTGAGGTCTTCCCGGAGCATCAGGGGAGGAGTGGAATCGTTTACATTTGTCTGCGGGCCGGACTCTGGAGCCGGTGACTTCCTGGACAGTCTCCCATAGAGGAGAGGGGCCACTGCACTCTAGGGCTGGGCAGGGGGTGAGAGTCTGGTTACGTGCGCTCTGAGGCTGAGACCCGGTTCTGTGCCCACCTGGTGCAGAGGAGGCAGATGAACTGGACATGCTGGTGACAGCGAAGACAGAGTCGGTGCAGTATGACCACCCCAACCACACGGTCACCGTGACCACCATCAGCGACCTAGACCTCTCGGGGGCCCGGCTGCTGGGACTGCCCCCACCAGAGGTGGGTGTAACTTCCAGCCCAGGTGCAAGATGGGTCCCAGGTGCAGACAGGCCTGTTGGCTGTGCTGAGTGCCGCTCCCCGTTACGGGGATTCCAGTGCGAGGGGCTCTTTCCCTCCTGAGCACTCTTTCCGGCCTGGACAAAATCCCTGACCCTGGGGCTTGTCGAAGCCGGTTCTATGACTCAGCGGCTGTGGACACGTGGGCAGGTGTCTTTGCCAGTAAGTTGGGAGGGGGTGTGGCGGGGGAGTCCTGGATGCTAACACCTGTCTCGTGGGATTGCTGAGAGTGTAAAAGTGGTTCATCCAAGGGAAGCACCGGTGATAGTGGTGTGTGGTGGTCACTCCAGTACGTGGGCACAGCAGCAACACGGCCTGGCCATGTGCACGAACGGTGAGTTTGCAAGCTGTGAGTAGGGAGATACTCGCAGATTGCAGCCAGCATTTATTTATTTATTTAAATATTTTATTTATTTATTTGACAGAGATCACAAGTCTGCAGAGAGGCAGGCAGAGAGAGAGGAGGAAGCAGGCTCCCCGCTGAGCAGAGAGCCCAGTGCAGGGCTCGATCCCAGGACTCTGGGATCATGACCTGAGCCAAAGGCAGAGGCTTTAACCCACTGAGCCACCCAGGCGCCCCTGCAACCAACATTTAAAAAAGAAAAAAGGATCCCCCTCTTATTTATTTATTTTTTAAGATTTTATTTATTTACTTGATAGGGAGAAACACAGCGAGAGAGGTAACACAGCAGGCAGAGTGGGAGAGGGAAAAGTAGGCTTCCTGGCAAGCAGGGAGCCTGATGTGGGGCTCGATCCTAGGACCCTGGGATCATGACCTGCGCCGAAGGCAGATGCTTAACTGACTATGCCACCCAGGTGCCCCAGGATCCCCTTTTTAAAAGCACTCGGTGGGCCCTGACTCGGGAGCCATGGAGCCTTCCAGAAAGGGCAGAGGAAAGCACTGCTTTCAGGTGAAGCAGCAGCGTGTTGAGTTGTTTTGCTTGAGTTGGTGAGACCCGGTGTTCCCCCTCGGTGGCGGGCACGAGCTGCTGGGGAGCAAGAGCAAGGGAGAGGCTTTGGGAGCGTGCGGGAAATGTTAACACGGTCAGCACCGTCTAATAAGCTCTCAAAACAGCAACAACAACAAAAACAAAATTAAAAGGTCTTAAAGGTTAAACAGAAGAAAAGAAGGAAATAGAGCAGAATGTCACTAAAAGAATCAGAAAGCCTCCCAGTGAAGCACCATCTCTCAAAACGGTTGTTTCCATCGGAGCAGCGTCCGTCTGGGTGGGGTGGGCATTTCAGTCCCTGTCCATCCCCAATCCACAGCAAAGCATGTCTCCTGTCACGGGGGAGCCCGGAGCCAGCGCTTCTGGCGTCCCTACTGCGCTCCTGCTCCTTCTCTATCTCACACTCATTCTTCTGAGTCCTCCCGGCCTCTGCAGCGGACGTGCGGCCGCTCACAGCTGGAGGAAGAGGGGCACGAGGCTGGGAAACTCTGCTCTTCTGGCGTCATCTCTGCTGCAGGGCTGTGCATGGCTTGTCCACCATGGCCTTCTCTGAGCCCTGAGCCAGGCCTCCACGCAGCAGGCCGTGCCCCTCCCCGGCAGAACCAGGACAGCTGGTGTTAGGCCCCGCGATCTACCGCTCTGTGTGACAGTCCTTGTTCTCTGATTCTTTAGCAAGGGACTGGCCACAGGCCCGAGGAAGAGGTGACCTCCACGGAAAAGCCGACCAGAGCCTTACCCCGGAAATCCAGAGATCCCCTCCTGTCCCAGCGGTGAGCCCTGGCCTGTCCTCCCCTAGGCTTCTGCTTCCTTATGACTGACAGTGGTGATGGGGCCGGTGGAGCCACCTCTGGCTGGCCTGTGGCGGGTGGCATGGGGCAGCGACTCTGCTCTGCCTGTCGAGTGTCCGTCCTCCCTATTCCCCATCCCTGCTCCCCAACAGTGGCCATCCCTGGGTGTCCTTAGTGCCTGTGGTAAGGGCGCTTTTTATGAGCCGAGGAACTGGCAGGCCCTCTGGGATCAGAGCGGCTGCCTTTGGCATGGATTTGGTACTCCCGGCATTCAAGGCCTGTACTGACTTCCTCCGTGAGTCAGGCAGTCCGTCCTCCCCCAACCCAACCTTCCACGCACGCCCCGGTCTCTGTAGAGTAAATGCAGCCCCAGCCTCACCAGCCTCGCACCCTCCTACAGGATCTCCGCTCTCACGGCGTCACTGCACGCACACAGCCGCAAGAAGACCAAGAGGAAACGTCCCCGACGGGCTCTGGACTCCACCAAGAAGCCCCCAAGTGCCACCCGTACGAGCAAGACCCAGCGCCGCCGGCTGACGGGCACGGCCCGGCACGGCTCAGAGTGAGCCCCGAGAACCAGGCCGTGCCCCGCCCGGGCTGAAAGCTTGGCAGTCCCAGGAACCCAGCCCTGAGGGCGCGACTCTGCAGCCCAGGCCTGGGAGGCCAGCACCTGTGGCCTGGAGCTGGGACTCGGGAGGGGGCAGGCAGCTGAGAGGTGGCTCCCGGCGGGAGGAGCCTTCAGAGCCAAATCCTGGGCATCTTCCCACCGGTGTCCCCACGGAGCCATCATCAGATTGTGAAACTGAGCGCGCTCGTGGTCTTGTTTGTCCCTGACCCTGACGCCACGTGCCAGGGGCCGGCTTCTGAGGTGGATGAAACGGTCCAGCAGTGTCCATGTGGGTGTGAGAAAGTGGTAGAATCCAGTCACCCCGCGGCTTCAAGAAGCCGCTGCTGGGCCGGGGGCTGGGGGGCGTGGTGCCAGACTCTGCCCTTCGCTGTCTGCGACTCTGGGTCTGTCCCTTCCTGGGCTCACTGTCTCCTCCGCTGGAACTGAAGTGGTGGGAGCCGGTGAGTTCCAGGAGCTTTCCCCACCCAGCTTGGGACCAGTGAGAGACGGGGAAGGTGACAGGAGAAGCAACAAGTCCCACCTGGCCCCTGGGTGGGGGTGGGGGTGCTGGCAGGAGGGGGCGGAAGTCCCAAGCAGGTCCTCTTTCTGCTCGGCCCAGGGAGGGCTGCCGTTGGGGAGGCTCAGGAACAGGGGCTCCGTAGGCTGTGTCTCGGGGGGGCTGGCACTCTCCTGTGTCACCATCCAGACCCGCCATCTGGTACCTGCGTGAAGGCCACACCTAGACATGGGAATGTGAAGCTCGGGGCTTCTGGGTGGGAGGCGCTGTGACCTGGCCCTCTGGCTCCTTCCACCAGCTCTTCCCGCTAGCCTCCCTGTTCCTGGGGTGGGGTGACTTGCTCGCTGGGCTGCATCCATCCTGGGCAGAGGGTGGGGCCTGCTAGCAAGCTTGCCTGGTGCTTCTAGTGCTCAACCTGGGGCAGGGAGTGTGAGCCTTGCCCTCGCCCACCCCCCAACCCCCCCGGAGCAGAACACATCCTGGGCCTAAGGGATTAGTGCACGGGGGAGGGCGTGGGTTTGAATCCTCACTCTGCCACTTGGCCTCCATGTGGGCACTTTGCCGTGCTGACCTCTCTGGGCATATCCCCAAAAGTAAGAAGTCAAGACACCCCCCCCCCCGCCAGGGCTGCCCCGAGCATGAGCCACCTCCCGCAGCCCCTGGCATCCCGCAGGTGCTCCTGCGGTGTGTGCTCCCGGCCTCTGCTGACCCCGCGACGGCTGACCCACGGCTCTTCTCCCATCCCCAGTGCCACAGGGTCATTTACCATTTAGATCTACATGTTGTGATGTTTACAAGTATTAAATTCTCATTCGCTCTCCTCTGTGTGCACCGTCAGTTCTCACAGCAGCCCAAGGAGACTGAGTCAGCGATTTTGTCCATCTTGGGATCCGAAGTGGCGGAATCAGAACCCTCTGGAGGACTTGCCTTTTCTCCCCGGAGCCCCTCTCTCTGTGCTCCACACCAGGATTCTTTCCTTGCCGCTCTCCCATCTGGTGGGCCTCCTGGCCTTGGGGCTTCCAGGAGCAGTGTAAAGAAGGATTCAGTTTAGCTGTATACAATAGAAAACAAATTTTAAAAACAACTGGCTTATATCAGAGGTTAACAGGGAGATAACTAGCCTGGAGCTGGGGGCACAGGGACTTAGGGGCTGGGATGACAGGCTTTTAGCTCTTTGTTTTGTGCCATTTTCAACCCATGGCTTCCACCTCATGGTCCAAGATGGCTGCTTGAGCTCCAGCTGTCATACTTGCCTTTCAGCCAGCAGGAAGGAGGAAGGGTTGAAGAACATGTCCCTACCTCCTTTTAAGAACATTTGATGCTTGTCTTGTGCCATTGATTGGGCAGAAGGCAAAGACAAGGGGTAGGAGGAAGAGGGAGCTCCTGGCTATGGGTAAGCCTGGGTCCTGTGGTTCATTCTGGGGAACCATGTTCCCAAATAAGAATTGAGGGTTGTGTGGGGCACTTGGGTGGCTCTGGTCATGATCCCCTGAGCCCTGGGATGGAGCCCTGGGGAATCTGCTTCCTCTCCCTCTGCCCTTGCCTGCTGCCTGTGCTCTCTCACTGGCACTCTATCTCTCTCTCTCTGTCTCTCAAATAAAAATCTTGGGTACAAGCAGCAGAGTATCCCACAGAAGCCAGATATATAAGGAAAGGACTGTCATGACCCAGCTGTATGGAACCAAAGCCACAGAAGACACTTGCTTTTCTGTTCCTTGGTTACTGCGGTGAACTTCCCCGATGCTACTAGAAGGAGCAGGGCCTCTCAGCTCGGTAGAGGAAAGACCCTCCCAGTAGGATGTATTTTCGGGCGGCTAAGGAGTCCTCCGTAGGGGGATGAGTGGGGACCCTGCTGGCCCTGCCTGGGCCCGGAGCTATAGAGAAGAGGGTTCCATGCCAGGGAAGCTGAGGCTTTCCTCCTCTCCGAAGTCCCCCAGACCTCAGAGGCTGGGAGCCCCCAGATTTGAACTGCCAACCTCAGTGGCTCTGGCCTGGGCTTCCCAGTTCGTCCTGAGCTGGAGACCTCACTGCCTGTTCCGTTGTGAGCGGCGCCAGCATGACAAAAGTCTTCCAGGTCTCCAGGTGACACCTTGCAGATGTCGGAAATGCCCTTTAGATGTTCACAGGCTGCTCACGCCTTCCTTGCTCTGCTTGTGAGCCACCTCCTCAGAGAAGCCTCCAGCCCTGGGAATCGATCCTCCCCACCCCCTCCCCACATGGGGTCCAGTGACACTGTGTTTCCTTCTTGTAAACACTGAACACATCGTAACCCGCTTATGTCTGTCCCCACTAGCAGACCATGAGCCTTCTGAGTGAGAAGTTGGGTCTCTCTGAAGTTGCTGTGTCTGCCCCTGGCACAGGGCCCATCTCCCCATAGGTCCTGAGCCAGTCCTGGCTGAGTGACATGGGACCCAATCCCCCACCCCACAGGTGCTCCCAATAACCCTTGGAATAATCTGTTCTAGAATTTTCTTGGCTGCACTGCCATGTTTGCCTGTCTGCAAGCTTCTGAATCTGTTTCTTTTTGTTTTTCCCCTTCCCTTCACCACATCCATCTCTCCTGGGTGAACTTTGCCCTCTTCCTAGCACCCTAGTTAGCACGATTGCCAAATAACAACCAAAAGAAAGCAGATGGGAAAGTAATTTATCAAGCACTTCTCATGTGCCTGTCACATTATTGACTCAGAAGCATCGCAAAGTGGAAATTAACTCCATTTGACAGGTGAGAAAACTGAGTCTCCACTTACATAATGTCAGAAGTTATCTGTCACAGCTAATAAGACATGGTCCTTGCATCCCACAGAGGGACAGACACATGGACGTCCCTCTGAAGGTCAGGGGTTCAACATAGTGTCAGAGAGCAGGCATCCTTACAGTCCAGAGGCAGAGAGGAAGGCATCCAAGAAGGCTTCCGAGAGGAGGTGATCCTTGATCTGAATCTTGAAAGATGAATTGGGTTGGCCAGGCAGCTGAGGGAGGGGATGGGCAGGTAGAAGGCCCTGGTGAGCAAAGGTGGGGAGCAGCCAAAGGTGGGGAAGCAGCTGCAGAGGCCCATGGGCCCCAGACCCTGAAAGGCCTCAAACTTGAGCTGAGGACCTAGACCCTTATCCTGTGGGCAGTGGGAGCCCCTGAGGTGGGGCTGGGGAGTCGCCAGGGGCAAGTCAGGGTGAGTGGTTGATTTAGAGAGATCTCCCTGGTGGCAGTGTGGAGGCTCCAAGACACTGTTGTAGTTATTCCAGGAGAGGCTGGGAGGCCCTCCTTTCGTGCAGGCAGCCATTCACTCTCTTGCCAAGCATTTATTGAGCACCTCTGAAGTCCCAGTCACTGGGGTACACTGATGAGCAAGAAAGGGTGGTCCCTGCCCTCCAGCGACTTATAGTTCATGAGCTGTAGCTGTAGGGACTCAGTGGAGGAGAGAGGATAATGGTAGCATTTATTGAGCACTTACTGTATACCAGCCACTCTTTTTTTTTTTTTAAGATTTTATTTATTTGTTGTGGGGGGGAGGGGAGAGAGAGAGAGAGAGAGCGAGAGCGCACACACAACCAAGCAGAGAGGCAGGCAGAGGCAGAGAGAGAAGCAGGCTCCCCGCTGAGCAAGGAGCCCAATGCAGGACTCAGTCCCAGGACCCTGGGATCATGACCTGAGCTGAAGGCAGCAGCTTAACCAACTGAGCCACCCAAGCATCCCAGTATACCAGCCACTCTTTATAGGGTTTAACTCACTGAATTCTCACAGTAACCCCACAGGCTACGCAACTCCATTAAGTCCATCTTGCAGTTGAGATACATGGAGGTGGCCCCCTCAGGAAGCAGGTCACTCCCTAGATACAGACATTAATACTGTCTGACTGGCGAACAAGCTGAGTCTTACCTTCGAGGGGCGCCCTCACAAGGTCCAGAATGGGAAAGACACCCCAGGAGCCCTGTGGGTCCTGCACAGGATCTCTGCTCAGTGCAGTGAGACATTACTTAAGGATGGGGAAGCCAGGGAGGGCTTCCTGGAGGGGGTGGCATTTAAGTTATCACTAAGGGAATGAAAAATCTGTGATTTACCATTTCAGAGACACTGCATAGGATAGAAGGCCTGAATATTAGTTTGGTTTGACTCACAGAATATTTAAAAACAGCTTGACTAGAGGCACCTGGGTGGCTCAGTCCATTGAGCATCTGCCTTTGGCTCAGGTCATGATCTCGGGGTCCTGGGATCGAGCCCCATGTCGGGCTGCCTGCTCAGTGGAGAATCTGCTTCTCCCTCTCCCTCTGCCCCTTCCCCTACTCATGTTCTCTCACTATTTCTCCTCAAATATATAAATAAAATCTAAAAAAAGATGAAGAAGAAGAAGAATTCTGTGGAAGGGAACGATTCTGAATGTTTACCCAATTTTTTGAGGCGAAAACCAAAACCAAAATAGGTTGACTTCGCCGTATTTTCAGATGTTGTGATTTCATGCGGAATTTGGGTTTCTGGCTTCTTCAGTAACAGCAGGCCTGCACCCGATCACCACTTCCCAGGGTCGCCGTGGACTGGAGTCAGCCCTGGTGACCCTGTGAGACACTCGGGCCTTCTTGCTTCTGCTCCGGCATGTCTACCTGGCCCGCACACAGCGTGGGATCCTCCGACAGGCCTGTGGACAAGGTGGGCTGGGAGGAAACTGAGGTCAGAGGGGTGGAGTGGGGCTA